TCTGATGCTTTCCTTACCGTGTTAGTAGGTTACAGACAGTGATAAGGTTGGCTACTTATTTTACTTTTAATTTCATTTGAATTAGCTTAAGCAGCGTTTATATTTTCTTTATAAATAAATTAACTTGCAAATTATGAGGGCTAGGGCTGGGTATTGTTCAAAAATTTTCGGTACCGGTACCAATACCGATACCTTCACTTCGATACCGGTTCCTGAACGATACTTTTTTCGATACCAGTTTTATAATATCAATTCGAAGAAAAAGAAAATTACACAACATAAAAAAGTACAAATCTTGAGTTTTATTTTAAGCTCTGATTTTTCCATTTACATTTTTCCTCTTACATAAAAAAAAAAAAAAAAAATCAGTGTCTAATATTCACTGTAACATTGTGAGGACCTTTTTACTTAGCAGTTTACCATGTCTGACAAACAAGCCCGTTGAATGGGATCCTACTGACAGCGCACCGCTGGTATGTGGGGGTCTGAGCGGCTCCGACAAAGAATATTGGAAGGCTGATATGGATGAACTGACTGCAGTGATTAAGTTTTCAGGTGGATTTTCCCACTTAAAAACATAATAAAACTACTTTATTCCCACTGATCACAGCAAATATAGCTGCAAGGCAGAGAAAGGATAGAGTAGCTCCGACCAACGCGCATCAGAGCCACTTTTGCACCGCGCAGCCAGAGCAGCAAAGCAGCTTCAGCCGCGCGTCAGAAGCTGGTACAAGCATCAAAAAAGGAAGCAGCAGACGTGATTTTGCTTCTCCTGCTGCGTCCAGTTTGAAATTGCAGCATTATTACAGCATTACTCCGCTCTGGCTTTGCTCTGCCCACGGGCTGCTGAGAGGAGGATGGTCGCGCCGGCTGCGGTCCGCTCTTCTTGCAGTCAAACACCGAGCAACTTTCTGCTCTTAAATTGTTTCCGTGCACGATGTATTGCATTGCGCACTATTGGCATCAGTCTTAATAAAGTGAAGCCGCACTTTTGACCTGGGGGGCATTTTAAAGGGGTTCCGCGAAGCTCACAACCAGTTCACAACAGAAACACATGAACCCTGGCTGTAGGCGGGACCACCTATGTATTTTTCCTGGATGACGCAATCACGTTAAGTGTTACAGCCAATCACCGAAACTTGGTACCGAAAGACGAGGCATGTTTCGATACCCTGTAGAACCGAAGCATTTCGGTCGGTACCATAAAAGAACCGAAGTTCGGTACCCAGCCCTAATGAGGGCAAGGCTTTCAAAGTTTAAATCTTCTGGCAAAGATAAAGTAAAGAAGATCCTGCAATTTATGGAAGTAAAGCAGAATAAAATCCAGCAAGATCAGTAATATGTCAATTAATTATCTGCCACATTCCCATGTAAATATCTGTCTTTGGAGGATGTGTTTTTTAGCACCCCTAGTTCTCTCATTTTTATTCCAAATACAATTTATAATTTGAATCACAGGGCTATTTTTATCTCTATGGTTCAGTATTTTCTCAAGTAGCAACTTTAACTGCTATACTTTCCTGTCTTAAAAGGCAGAACTCTTCTAGTCTAAAAAAACTCATTTGTTGAAAAGGGGGGACCTATTTTTTGAACCCCTTAGGGGCTTTTAAAAACAAAAATGTCTTTTTTTGTGCTTTATGAAACAAAGTAGCCTATATTTTGTGGATGTACAGCTACATTTCTCATGTAAGTTTGCGTAGTTTTAACACAAACATTTATTTTTCATATTGCACCAGTACAGTTAATGAGCAACCTGTACTTGTGTGCTTGTTTGTTCTGTCTAAAATGTTTATTTTGGAATAAAGAGGTTAATATAAAAAATATTTTTTGTCCGATTCATCGATTAATCGAAAAAATAATCGTCCGATTCATCGATTTTTAAAATAATCGTTAGTTGCAGCCCTACATTACATTATCACACCGTACTCTCAGTCACTCAGTAACTTAGCCTGTGAATTCCTAGCTAGCAGTTACTAGCGTAAACAAATAGGCACTAACGTTAACGTTTACTAGGCCACTTCAGTTGGCTTACTTAAAAGTCTATGACAGGGGTGTCAAACTGGTTCCAGAAAGGGCGGTGTGGCTGCATGTTTTCTTTCCAACCAAACAATAGCACACCAGACTCCAATCATCATGTTAAGACTGGACTCACTTGATGAGATGACTGGAGTCTGGTGTGCTACTGTTTGGTTGGGAAGAAAGCCTGCAGCCACACGGCCCTTTCTGGAACCAGTTTGACACCCCTGGACTATGACTTACCCTTCATGTGACTCGAGAGCGCAGACTCGCCCATTGTGAAAAGCTGCACATCTTTTTTGCAGACTTTACAAGAGGAAACTCGTGGGGTTTGTCCCCGTTTAATCCATAATTTGTATTTTTCATCTTAAAGCCAACGTTCATTGAAACAACAACCTCCCGGCATGGTGCAGTAGTGGGCGGAGTCACACATGGAAAAAGACTGGCAGATCGCAGTCACACATAAGGGAGCAGGTTTCATTTTCGGGCTGTCCAACTTTTTATTTCTCCATTTAATAAACACATGATTCAGTTAGATAGGTATTTGTTGCGAAAGATATAGTTACAATTTCAAGCATTTTCAAGCATTTCATCCAAAATATAAGCACTTTTCAAACCTTGAAAACACAACGTCAAAATTCAAGCATTTTCAAGGATTTCCAGCACCCGTACGAACCCTGTTAATTGCAAAGTTTATCTTCTAGCTAAAAAAATCTGTCAATCCAAGTTTGACCGGCCACTTATACCCCTTTGCCACAGGCCCATTCAAACACCACCCGGTAATTTACGTGATACTTATGAACGCAACGTACAGATGTCAGCACACCGCGCCAGTCGCTTCTGATCTAATAAGCAAAAACAACTGTTTACATGGAATAAACATGGAGCAGCTCTGGTGAGAGGGAATCAGAAAGATAATAGAGTGAAACAATAAAGCACACTGACTACACCCTGGCTTTCTTCCATGTTGCTCTACATTGTTTCCTTTCCTGATTTCTTTCGCACTGGTGACATCATCAATGCTAACTCAGCGTGATCTTTTCATCAGACACGCAGTGGCAGGGGGGGACAGAGGCCATGGAGCTTTAAAGCGAGAGGTTAGATAGCTTTTTTGCCTGCGGAAAGTGAGCCAAATGCTGAATGTTAGCGCATTAACCCGGGTTAACAAACCCATCCATTTTCACTGTGAAAGAGGCTTTAGTTGTGGAATCCCAGTGTACGTGGGGATGCTGTCTCTACAGGACGGTTCTGAAGTATTCTGGATTAGGGCTGCAACTAAGGATTATTTTAAAAATCTATGAATCGGCCGATTATTTTTTAGATTAATCGATGAATCGGACAAAAAATTTTTTTTAGATTAACCTCTTTATTTCAAAATAAACATTTTAGACAGAACAAACAAGCACACAAGTACAGGTTGCTCATTAACTGTAGTGGTGCAATATGAAAAATAAATGTTTGTGTTAAAACTACGCAAACTTACATGAGAAATGTAGCTGTACATCCACAAAATATAGGCTACTTTGTTTCACTAAGCGCAAAAAAAGACATTTTTGTTTTTAAAAGCCCCTAAGGGGTTCAAACAATAGGTCCCCCCATTTCAACAAATGAGGTTTTTTTTTTACTAGAAGAGTTCTGCCTTTTAAGACAGGAAAGTATAGCAGTTAAAGTTGCTACTTGACCATACTAAATAAATGGTAAATTTATGGTAAATACTTAACCATAGAGATAAAAATAGCCCTGTGATTCAAATTATAAATTGTATTTGGAATAAAAATGAGAGAACTAGGGGTGCTAAAAAACACATCCTCCAAAGACAGATATTTACATGGAAATGTGGCAGATAATTAATTGACATATTACTGATCTTGCTGGATTTTATTCTGCTTTACTTCCATAAATTGCAGGATCTTCTTTACTTTATCTTTGCCGAAGATTTAAACTTTAAAAGCCTTGCCCTCATAATTTGCAAGTTAATTTATTTATAAAGAAAATATAAACGCTGCTTAAGCTAATTCAAATGAAATTAAAAGTAAAATAAGTTGCCAACCTTATCACTGTCTGTAACCTACTAACACGGTAAGGGAAGCATCAGATGAGCTACCTGAGAAACTAACGTTACGTTTCCCCACTTTAAAACCAAACAAACATGGTCGCTCATCCTGCTGATCAGCTCTCTTCACTGCCATCGAAGGCTCCAACGTGTTTTCTTTTCAGGTGCTGCATCATAACAGTGGTGTTTCCGTGCCATGTTCATTTGTTTTTTACAAGAAGATTAAAACAAGGTCAGAAGTGAAAATTATGAGTACTCATTTTTTGACAAATTATCAGCTAAGGGTGTTTTTGGAGTATGGTTTGCTAACAATTGACTTGATGGTCATTTTGTTTATGATTGCCTGATTGTAAAGAAGTTGGGTTTTGTTTTACAAATAAGCCTGCCATTAGTTGAGGGACAAAATATGACGACAAAACCACCTGGGAACACTTATGCTCATTGGATTAAAGAAGTTATGCAGTCATTAAAAATAGAAAAGATCAGATTCACTGTGGGAGGATCTATATCCAAATTTTATTCAACTTGGGAACCATTTCTAAACTTCGTGGAGAAATTAGATGCTGAATTATCAAACTTGTTGAAATACATCAAACATTAACCTTAACCCCCCCCCCCCCCCCTTTTTTTTATTTGTTTATTTTAATTCATCCATCTTCTTTTATTATTATATTTATTTATTATCATTATTATAATTATATTTCTAAATTTTACTACTTTTATTTTTGCTTTGGGTTATACCCATCTCCTGAATGACGCCAGGCGGAGCATGGCTGATGATAAATACAGTACTTATTCCAGAATTTGTATTCCACATTTTAATGCTGAAAATAAAATAAACCTTGTTTAAAAAAAATAAAAAAAACAAACAAAACTATTAACTGTGATCAAATATACTAAGGTGATCTGGTAGCTTTATAAACATACATACCTGTAAATGTTCCAGGCTGCTACGGGCATGTTCAATAGGAAAATGAACCAGTGCATGGAGACCAACATGAGCATCATTGAGAGACACTGCCCAATCATCTCAGGAATCACCCACTAGAAACACAGTGCAAAAAATTGCTTCAATCCCCAAGCAGAAAATGATTGATAGTTTGTCAAAAATGTAAACAGAAGGAAAAAAAATTCTGATGACAACACATATAACAAGAAACAAGTCATTCTGAACATACACATGTCATTTGGAACATTGGATTTGCTAGATTAGAAAAAGGAAATAAATCATACACAAAGGGTACTTACTTTGTTAAGCTTGGAGCAGCAAGCACGAGCATTAATGTAGTCACATTCTAGATCAGACAGAGTGATAATCTTGGAATACATGTTAAGGTTTTACACATATTGTGGCACAAGCTGACAAGTCTTTCATTTCATAAATAAATGTGACTGTGGTACAACTTGTAAAATTCATTTCAATAGATCCAGGTGTCAAATGTCCCAAGTCATTCCAATCCACTTCTCCTCTTACCACCTGGGATTGATTTACTCTGATTTAAAAAGCTAAAGGTTTTAGTGGGTGATCCTTACGCAATTGGCCAAACTTTAAACCAATCAGGGTACGCATTAACTGGTTCAATTAAATTTACAGATCAATTCATTTTTTCAACATTTTTAGCATAAATCTTTGACCAATAAATGTAATTACCATAACACATTTTTAAACCTTTTTTTTTATTATGTATGATTTGTTAATTGTTCCCAGTCATATAAAGTTTGAGACAAATGTCCATTTATGTGTAGTTACAATAATGATTACGCATCAAAATCATATGTATCTATGATCATTCGTGTAGTGTAAATTCAGGAATTCAGAACAGCGATTTCAGTCATTTGAAAAAACTTGACTTCTTGAGCAAAAGGAAAAAAATAATAATTCATTCCTATCTTAACACCTACATTTTAGCCAGTATTACAGTAATGAAAAGCTGTCATATGTAACTCTCATATGTGCATACATATATGCACAAACACATGCACACAGCTCTAACTTCTTTTTCCTTTTTATTACAGATTTCTGACAATATTTACCCTATGCTTTTTCAACCCAGTAGCTGCTTTAGCTGCTCTTGATTTCTCAATTCACCTTAATTACAAAGGTTATAAAACATGATTGAATGATTTGCAATTATTTTTAAAGGAAAATCCGGTCATACAGAATTGAAACTTCTGGAAGTATTTTAAATATGAAATTATTACCTAGTGTTCAATAAATAAGTATTTTTAAATAAAAGTAATTTTCATGTGAATGTGCTTTAATGGAGGTATCCATGTTTGTCAAAGAACACTACTGCCACCTACTGGTTAGTGACGTCACGGTGCGGTATCGGCTGTTGATCAAGTCCCAGTGGTGTATCTGGTGTTTGTCACAACGCGCTATTATCCAAGTCATCTTGAAAACATTCTTCTTTCAAATGTTGGCTACATATTACGTGTTTTTTCTCTGGCCAGAAGTTCGACGGCAAATACTCCCTCTTTAATTTGGCGATCCAACGACCAACCCGTCCGTGGAGGATCAGGAATTGGAAAGGTGAAATACACCCCCCCCCCCCCCCCCCCCCCCCCCCCCCCGCTCCACTTTTACCCGATGTATTCCAGCATCCAGCTGCCATGCACGTGGACATTGTCAGTTTCACTATAGCTCTGGTGAATTTCAATGGTGAAGTCCTCTGTAAATCTTCAATAATTGTTGTTGATTGCAGATGTGTCTAGTAGTTCCCATTGATTTTGCTTGTAAAGCGGGGAGAATGGCGCTAGGCTTACCGCACCGTGACGTCACTGCTAGAAGATGGCAGGACTGAGATGTTACAATGGCCCTGTTCGGATTTATGGGCTGCGTCCTTAGAAGGGCAAATTCGAAGGACGATTAGGTCATAGCGCGGCGCTGAGGTCTGGTCGGATTCCAAGACTCCTCGTTATGCGGCCTTAAAATGCGTCCTTTTTGCCTGCTTTGAAGGACGGGTCCGATGTATCCTTGGTTGGCACCGAACAGTGGTGGAAATTGGAAGTTCTGTTTAATATAATACAAGTCTGTGAATAATTCCGTCTGAAATGAATGAAAATAGTTGTTTTAATGGTTATTGAGTCAGATATGTGGCGGTAATGTTTGGTTTATCTAAAGGTTTTTTTCTGTTACTGCGTAAATGGGTTTGGCTGTAATTTAAGGACATATTATAATATATCTGCAGGGTGGGGACTATAAATCTGATAGTTTTATTTTTTATTGCCGTTTTCCACAATATGCCTACATAAAAAATATTTTTTTTGTTGAATATTAGAGATTTTGCAGATATATTCTTTAGACATACCTATAACTTTTTCTACTTCACTTTTCTGTCAACTCTGATCTTTAGATCTTTCCATAGTGGTTCGATTGGATTTAAATGTGATTGTCTGGAGCATTCTAGCAGCTTTCATTTCTCTCTGTAGTTTTAAAGCACTTTAAAAATAGCAAAGGTCATCAGTGCTGTTTATCAAACTGAAAGGAACAGTAAAAAGAAAACCGTCAAGCAAAATACAGACACGGTAAAATAGAGATTAAGAGATTGTTACAGAAATGTTACATTATGAAGTGAGGGAGAACAAATGCAGCTTCAATAAAAATAGTTGGTTAAAATTTAGGCAAGGAGGAATAATTTAAGTCAACAGTTAAGATCAGTGATTAGCTCTTGCTCTGATTTCTGACATTAGTAGCAGTTTGTTTCGCACAAACTGCGGCCTTTACGCTACATGTAACAGAGCACCGGTCATTTGCGGCGTAAAACCCCTTATCTTCCTGCTAACAAGTACGTGGTTAACAATGTAGCCAGCAATGTTTGTGAAACAAAAATACAAATACAGCAGTTTCACTGAGCTTTTAGTTAAAGAGCTACTGTAGACAATTATCGCAACACTCATTACAAACACTAAATGAAAGGATACAAAGTATACCGAGAGAAAAATCAGTGCACAACAATCCACAAGAGACAGGATAAAAACCGCCGCCTCCATTGTAACGCTTCACGTTTCCGTTTCCCTTCCCTTCTCTTCTTCTTCTCCTTCTTCAGCCACCGCCGCGTCCTCTTCTTCTTTTTTTAGTGCATTGCTGCCCCCTAAGGTCATAAGATAACAACACCCATTGAAACTATTAGGACAGAGAAAACATTCCCATATTTTAGAATAGAGTCCAAGTTTAAAAAAAAACAAGCAAACAAAAACAACGTGCCCTCTCTTTTGGGAAACTCTATTCCTTAGTATTGTTCTTATTTAAAAGGAATTGTGCCCCGTATCAGTGAATTCAATTTCAACTCAAAAATACTTTATTAATCCCAAAGATAAATTAAATTAGACTTACTAAGTCTTTGGCAAACGTTATTGTCAGTTTGTGTAGTTGTATTTTTATTTTATAATTTTTTTATTTTTTTTATTTTTTTTTTAAACATGACCCATCTACTGCATACAGGGGACACTGTAATATCACATGAAAAACTGTTTCAGAGACATCACAGAAATGAATATATTTCTTCGTAAATCAGTCCGGTCTCTTGTTTATTTTTGGCTAAGACTTTTTGTCATGTCCCCTAACTGATCAGAGATATTAAAATCCTCCTTACTAGTAGTATTTTTAGAAATCAATACACCCAAATATTTTACTACATGTACACTACCATTGAAAAGTTTGGGGTCACATTAAAGTGTCCTTATTTTTGAAGGAAAAGCACTGTACTTTTCAATGAAGATAACTTTAAACTAGTTTTAACTTTAAAGAAATACACTCTATACATTGCTAATGTGGTAAATGACTATTCTAGCTGGAAATGTCTAGTTTTTGGTGCAATATCTACATAGGTGTATAGAGACCCATTTCCAGCAACTATGACTCCAGTGTTCTAATGGTACAATGTGTTTGCTCATTGTCTCAGAAGGCTAATTGATGATTAGAAAACCCTTGTGCAATAATGTTCACACATCTGAAAACAGTTTAGCTCGATACAGAAGCTACAACAATGACCTTCCTTTGAGCAGATTGAGTTTCTGGAGCGTAACATTTGTGGGGTCAATTAAACGCTCAAAATGGCCAGAAAAATAGAACTTTTATCTGAAACTCGACAGTCTATTCTTGTTCTTAGAAATTAAGGCTATTCCATGCAAGAAATTGCAAAGAAATTGAAGATTTACTACAACAGTGTGTACTACTCCCTTCAGAGGACAGCACAAACAGGCTCTAACCAGAGTAGAAAAAGAAGTGGGAGGCCGCGTTGCACAACTGAGCAAGAACATAAGTACATTAGAGTCTGTAGTTTGAGAAACAGACGGCTCACAGGTCCCCAACTGGCATCTTCATTAAATAGTACCCGCAAAACACCAGTGTCAACATCTACAGTGATGTGTGATTCTGGCCTTCAGGGCAGAGGAATCTTGGAATCCGACCAGACCTCGTAAAACAAATATCAGTTAAAAATCCCTTTTGAAGTAAAAACAAGTGTCAGTTAAAATCATTAAATGAGGAGCTTGTTAAAATGCAGTTCTCCATCATCTGACACAGAACATAAAATGTTTTTTTAAACCCCACAACTGAATAAAATCCTCCATGTTCTGTGTGGCTCTGTGGAAGTGCAACCCTTTAAGGTTGCACTTCCACAGAGCCACAGCATCAAGGTGAGATCTCTCCTGCAGTCTGTCTCTACAGGACAAATACACTATATTGCCAAAAGTATTTGCTCACCTGCCTTGACTCACATATGAGCTTAAGTGACATCCCGTTCCTAATCCATAGGGTTCAATATGACGTCGGTCCACCCTTTGCAGCTAGAACAGCTTCAACTCTTCTGGGAAGGCTGTCCACAAGGTTTAGGAGTGTGTTTATGGGAATTTTTGACCATTCTTCCAGAAGCGCATTTGTGAGGTCGCACACTGATGTTGGACGAGAAGGCCTGGCTCTCAGTCTCCGCTCTAATTCATCCCAAAGGTGTTCTATCGGGTTGAGGTCAGGACTCTGTGCAGGCCAGTCAAGTTCATCCACACCAGACTCTGTCATCCATGTCTTTATGGACCTTGCTTTGTGCACTGGTGCACAGTCATGTTGGAAGAGGAAGGGGCCAGCTCCAAACTGTTCCCACAAAGTTGGGAGCATGGAATTGTCCAAAATGTCTTGGTATGCTGAAGCATTCAGAGTTCCTTTCACTGGAACTAAGGGGCCAAGCCCAGCTCCTGAAAAACAACCCCACACCATAATCCCCCCTCCACCAAACTTTACACTTGGCACAATGCAGTCAGACAAGTACCGTTCTCCTGGCAACCGCCAAACCCAGACCCGTCCATCAGATTGCCAGATGGAGAAGCGCGATTCGTCACTCCAGAGAACGCGTCTCCACTGCTCTAGAGTCCAGTGGCGGCGTGCTTTACACCACCGCATCCGACGCTTTGCATTGCACTTGGTGATGTATGGCTTGGATGCAGCTGCTCGACCATGGAAACCCATTCCATGAAGCTCTCTGCGCACTGTTCTTGAGCTAATCTGAAGGCCACGTGAAGTTTGGAGGTCTGTAGTGATTGACTCTGCAGAAAGTTGGCGACCTCTTCGCACTATGCGCTTCAGCATCCGCTGACCCCGCTCCGTCAGTTTACGTGGCCTACCACTTCGTGGCTGAGTTGCTGTCGTTCCCAAACACTTCCATTTTCTTATAATACAGCTGACAGTTGACTGTGGAATATTTAGGAGCGAGGAAATTTCACGACTGGATTTGTTGCACAGGTGGCATCCTATCACAGTTCCACGCTGGAATTCACTGAGCTCCTGAGAGCGACCCATTCTTTCACAAATGTTTGTAAAAACAGTCTGCATACCTAGGTGCTTGAATTTATACACCTGTGGCCATGGAAGTGATTGGAACACCTGATTCCAATAATTTGGATGGGTGAGCAAATACTTTTGGCAATATAGTGTAAATAGCCACTTTAAGGCCCCGTCCACACAAAGTCAAAACGAACACGAAACGCTGATATTTTCCAAAACGTTTGCCGTAAAGACGGAGACGTAAAATAAATGTGAGCGTCCACACGAATGCATGAAAACGCTGCAAAATGTATGCCAGGCCTGTAAGTGGCGCTGTGGTGCCAAAGCAAAAATAAGCGACGAAATGTTGGGCATGCGCACTAATATTTATACATGTTTGCCCTGCGGGTCCATTTTCGTGGTTAAGTCAAATTCAGGTGCTGAACTATGTCGTCGATATTGCTCTGTTCTTCCTGGAGATATTCCAGAAGAAGAAGATTCTGTTGTAAGCCCGACAGCAGGGTGAGTAGCATTAGCAGCAACGGCGCCATTGTTGTTGTGATACTGTGTTGTGCATGCGTGTTTAGAGGCGACGCTATGACGCATGCGTGTAAAAAAAAATGCGGTTAGAGCGTAAAGATGGAAACGCGAAAACGGCGTTTCGAAATCTTCCCACTCTGAAGGCTGAATAAAAAAAAGATCGTTTACAGACCCCCGAAACGCCGGCTTCGTATGGATGAGAGGCTGGTTTGGTGAAAAATTTGTGCGTTTAGGCCAGGGTTCGTCTTCGTGTGGACGGGGCCTAACTTCACTGATTTAAAAAGTCTAAGGCCCCGTCCACACGAAGACGAACCCTGGACTAAACGCACAAATTTTTCACCAAACCAGCCTCTCATCCATACGAAGCCGGCGTTTCGGGGGTCTGTAAACGATCTTTTTTTTATTCAGCCTTCAGGGTGGGAAGATTTCGAAACACCGTTTTCGCGTTTCCATCTTTACGCTCTACCCGCATTTTTTTGTTGTTGACACGCATGCGTCATAGCGTCACCTCTAAACACGCATGCGCAACACAGTATCACAACAACAATGGCGCCGTTGCTGCTAATGCTACTCACCCTGCTGTCGGGCTTACAACAGAATCTTCTTCTTCTGGAACATCTCCAGGAAGAACAGAGCAATATCGACGACATAGTTCAGCACCTGAATTTGACTTAACCACGAAAATGGACCCGCAGGGCAACCATGTATAAATATTAGTGCGCATGCCCAACATTTCGTCGCTTATTTTTGCTTTGGCACCACAGCGCCACTTACAGGCCTGGCATACATTTTGCAGCGTTTTCATGCATTCGTGTGGATGCTCACATTTATTTTACGTCTCCGTCTTTACGGCAAACGTTTTGGAAAATATCAGCGTTTCGTGTTCGTTTTGACTTCGTGTGGACGGGGCCTAAAAGTCTGGCCTTTGCCTTGTTGCTTTTGTTTTGACAGACTCCTCTAATAAATAGAGAAGTTGTAAAAACGGTGCCAAAAAGACTAAAAACATTTGTTAAAAGGCTAAAAATGGTCTTTAGCCTGACGTAGTCCATAGAAACATGAAAAACATTTTCAGACAGACTGCAGACAGACACCCGTTTAAAACACCCCGATTGATGATGGATAAAAACGAGTTTGTGGCGACGGCGGCGTGTAAAATCCTCCATTCTTCTTCTTCTTCTTGTCGAGTTGGCAACAAACTGTTAGTAGCATTACAGCCACTTACTGGTATGGAGTGTGGTTCGTGATGGTTTAAATATCTATCTTGATACATTCTACCCTAACTTCTTCTAAACATACATTCACACATTCACACTTAAAAATATATACATATTTGTGCACAGCTTTGTATATCATTCCTTCACTCACAAACACACCTACTATAATTAAATTCTATGGAATAATTTTGTTTTCTTTAGAAATCGAATAATTATTTGTATGTGTTTACTCCCTAAATTTTTCCTCAGTATATAAATAATAAATAAATTAAATTAATAAATTAACCTTCTCCTTAATGTCTTCAAACTCTCTTCTCATATATCTTCTCTCTCTTTCATATGTATGACATTCTAATATAACATGTTCTATGGTTTCATATTTATCACAGAAATCACATTTGCCCGTTTTATGTTTTTGCATTTTAAAAAGTGTATAATTAAGTCCTGTATGACCAAATCTTAACCTTGTTATCACTCTTTCCTCCTTTCTATTTCTTCTTCTATTTCTTCTTTCTCCTACCATCTTCTGAATTTTATAAAACCATCTTCCT